TTTTTTTTTTTTGGGGGGGGGGGGGGGTTTGCTTCAGAGAAATGGCCTCTATTACAGTTTTAAAAAAATGAAAAATTTCCTGAAAACATCTTTCCTGAGTTCTTTCCAAAGTCGCGCTGCTGCTGTCGCCTGTTTCTCCCGTGCACCCCTGCATGATACGGATTGGTTGATGAGAGATCATGCGATCATGAAGCGAGTAACATGAGGCTGTTGTAGATTGTGGAGGAGGGCACATTGAACCATTTTTGGGTCATTAAAAGGGTATGTGTGCGTGTAAGTGATAAATTCGAGGTTGAGGAAAAGGAACTTGGAGTAATAGCCCATTTTCAGGTATATTTTCTCGCAGTCCCTACGATCTCACGCAAGCAATTTCATCATGTGCGTCCCTGTGTTATTCCTGAGAGGTCAACGACTCCCGCTCACATTTAGCATTCCTTCTGTTCTTGTGAATAAAAACTGCCTGAGGCAACCCTGTTTTTCCAAGCTGGAGATTAGGGGAGAGGGCTGTCAACTAGCAGACATTTTATGACCTCTAATGGGGTGACCTGTCAAACTCGCCATATTCCCAGTGACTAGACTATAATATCAGTAGAGTACAGTCGATATTGAGGGATAAGAGGCGCTGGTAAATCTGAAATTTCAATTGTCTTGGTCCAACGGCCCCCGGATATGCTTCCATACATTTAGGGAGAAGGGGGCAGGGGGGGGGGGGGGGAAGTAAAAGTCCATGGACCACCATCTCCCACAACCACTCAAGTCAGAAAGCTGGTTTATAGCTCATTTTAAAGCTTGAAATCAGACAATTTTAACTCAATCGGTGTTTCCAGGTCTTGATGAATAAATTTTTTTATTTAAAAAATGAGAAATTCTCAACCTTCCAAAAAATCAGCTATGGGAAAGCTGGCAATGAATCCAGCTTAGGAGTTTTTCTTCCTGGTTTAGACAAGCCCAATACCTTTTCTCATCAATTATTATGCCTCACTAGTTATGTTCTTTATTTTACATTCATCAAATTTTGTACACATTGACTTTTAATCAATTTTGCTTAGCTCCAGATACAGGCATATACAAAAATTGCAGACCATTTCAAATTCCTCAAAGATATTATGCCATAAAACAAAAAAAGAGTCAATGAAAAATAGTTTGAAAATGGGCATTTTAAGCAAAATAAGTCCTTCTTGGTCTAAACTACCTATAGCAGAAGCTCTAAGTGGAAAGGAAAAAATTGTCTAGATTAAAAAAATTGCAAACTTCTTCCTAGTTAAGGTATGAAATAAGATAAGTATTTAATTTAAAAATTAATGAGCATTTTAACTTGATTAGTTTGGAAGTTGGGGTTTTTGGTCCAGGGGGGTCATCTTCACCTACCCCTTTAAAATATGATGGAGGGATATCTAAGAGGCCATTCAATTTTGACTGTTGAGATTTTTGGATTCATCAGTTTCTCATAACCCCCAACAGCCATGGTTCTCTTCCTATTTTTTCTTTTACAGCTAAATCCAAGTCAGTTGGGCAATCAACTCCCTGAAATTTGGACCGTTTCACATTGAATGACTCATACATTCAACAACAGACCATGGCTGATGAAGGATAATGTTGTTCCTCTCTGAAATTTTCAATTATAATTTTAACTCCCTATATGGCAGGCAGTTTCATCATATTACTTCTACAGATTAACAAACCTCTCAATTCAAAGAAAGAAGCAAATTCAGGATTTATATCTTGTCTTGCACAGTCAAAGGGAGGGGCCAATTGGGACAGCATGGGCATGACAGAGAAAATACATATCTATTCAGATGGAAACATAGAGATTCATTAAAGCTCTCTAAGGTAAAATGGGAGCAATCAACAATCACTAGACCATATTGCACTAAACTTGGATGTTTCATACAGCAGGAAACAAAAAAATTAGTTGTCCTACTGAGAAAAAAGACAAGGAAAGCACCACATCACCAACGTACCCCCTCCTTGTACTCCTCATTGATACTCATACGTTTGATTGACTCATAGCCGAGGACAATGGCAAAACTGAAAAAACATGACTGGAAGATTCGGGCTGAAAGACCCTTTGTGAAAATGTTCCATCTCTCCTCATTCCACAGAAGTAAAAATGTCCTTGAAAAGGAATCCAGGCGCTGCACCTGAAATCAAAATGCAATGGATATAAGGAGGCATGCAAGTGACTCAAACAGGGCTATCTGAGTGTGCCTGTTCATTTTTCTCTCTCTTGAGAAAAGTTATATAGAACCCTGCATTAGCATGCATCTCATCTAGACTAGAACTTTTAACATGGCTGTTACAATGAAAAGAAAGATAAGAAGTATATCCAGTTAGAATTTTCACATATAGGTGTAAAGTATAGTACAGGTTATACGAGGGCCACTCAATAAGTTATCTACCTGAATATGAAAGGGATGAGCAACAGGCCTGTGCCTGCTGTGACATGTCTCGACAGGTCTCGTGAGTGCCCCACCACTATACCAGCTCAGTGGCTCAAGTCCGTTCAAAGTGGTAGCACATTAGATTTCTTTTCCTGAGTCTGTGTCATGGATTTGACGAAAGTTGAACATCATTCAGTGATCGAATTCCTCACCAAAGAAGGGAAAGCACCTAAGGAGATTCATGAACGTATGTCTAACGTTTATGGTGTGTCTTCGCCTTCTTATTACCAGTTAAATTTTGGAGCAAGCAGTTTAAGTGGGGAAGAGAGTCGATCGAAGATGACCCAAGGTCGGGGCGCCCTGTGGAGGCTTCTGATCAGGAAATATGTGACAAATTGGAGAGTGCGATACCGGAGGATCGTCGCACCAAAGTCTCTGTTTTAGCTCATGAACTGGGGATTTCAGAGGGCACAGTGATTCACATCATTCATGAAAAATTACACTTGTCCAAAGTCAGTTCTCGATGGGTCCCAAGAATGCTGACTCCAGCTCAGAAGAAGAACAGATCTGACATCTGCAAGGAAAACTTGGAGTTTTCTAAACAAATCGGGGAAACTTTTTCCCCAGAATAGTAACTGGTGATGAAACTTGGGTTCATCACTGGGATCCCGAAACCAAGCAGGAGTCCATGCGGTGGAAGCACAAGGGATCGCCAACACCTTGCAAATTTCGTGTTCAGAAATCTGCAGGAAAGATTATGGCCACTGTGTTTTGGGACAGTGAGGGACTACTGCTGCTTGAGTTCATGCCAGACGAGTGTACAATCACTGGCGATTCCTATGCTACCACCATGAAAAATGTACATGATGCCATCGAGGAAAAACACAGAGGAAAGTTGTCAAGGGGGGTCCTTCTTCTCCATGACAACGCGTCTGTCCACAAATCATGGAAAGTTCAGGCAGCAGTGAGGGAGTGTGGCTTTCAGGAGCTCACCCATCCTCCCTACAGCCCGGATCTGGCTCCTAGTGACTATTTTCTGTTCAGACACTTGAAAAAATTTTTGCAGGGAAAAAGATTTTCATGCAATGAAGAGCTGAAAGTTGCCGTTTTTGATTGGTTTGATGGACAAGAAGTTGACTTCTATTCCCAGGGAATAAAATCCTTGGAATCAAAGTGGAATAAGTGTGTTGAGTTAAAAGGTGACTACACTGAAAAATAAAGTGTTATTTTACCCCTTGGATGTTTCTTTCTTATTCAGGTAGATAACTTATTGAGTGACCCTCGTATATGCCAGCATGACATAGGATTCAATAAAACAACACCTACAATAAGCAGTATTTCCTAGGCATATGAATCATCCCTACACTCCCCAGCACGACTCATATATTTGACACTCCCCTCTCCTCACTCTAATATGCCTTTTATTTGCCTCTTTTCTAACAGGTGCAGTGGAGATCTGACAACCCAGGATTTGAATAAATATACATTGCCAGCAAATGAAATAGGAACACCTAGAACGAGCAATGCTACAGCCACCAGACTCTGGCCATTTATTGGAGGCATTGAGGTATGCAAATGATCAATCACTCTTCAATACTTGGCATCCTAGCTGCATGATGCAATCATGTGACCACACCACAGAAAGTACTCTGTATGGTCTGCACACAAGTGGCCAAACAATGCTCTTAGTGGTATTATACCCTCCCATACCACATGGCCATCAAATGATTGCATCACACTAACAGGATGCAAAGTATTGAAGAGTGATTGATCATTTGCATACTTCAATGCCTCCAATAAAAGGCCAACGTTTGGTGGCTGTAGTGGCACTTGTTCTAGGTGTTCCTATTTCATTTGCAGACAATGTATATCATTCATACTACTAATTTTGAAATACATTTCCCTGCCAGATTAATTTGAAAATTATCAATAGAAGTGTAAGTTGTATTACAATAACTGCGAATAACTGTGAAGGAATTAGAGCTCAGACAACTTCAAGGAAAACAGGATTCAGAGGCAGTGCTTAAACACCTATAGAATACAAACCTGTCTGGATGCATTCTGTCTTTTTTATTGTAACAGCCAAATTACATGTTTTGGTCTAAATTGCATGCTCAAATAATCCTGGCAATAATCTATAGTTTCTTTACCTGTAGTCTGGCACGGACAATGTCCAAAGGATTAGTTAGAATGGTGGTAGTCATTCCCCCTAATGGTGCTGCCACAACTTGCAGAAGTAGATGAGATACCCATGGAGGGCTAATGCTCCTCAACTGATCTGAAATTCAAAAAGAAAAAAAAAGTCACCAAGAGATTGTTGAGTATGGTCAACATTTTTTCGAGAAAGTGAAGCCGGAAATAATAAAGAAACAACAGTAATAATATTAAAAATGAAAAACTTCAAGTTCTTTTAAAATGTACAATTGCCTATCACTAAAGCATCTACTGGTGAATGAAAATTTATAGGAAGAAGCATCAGCACAACTTTTGCTGAATCATTGAATTCTTGGATTATTTTTCAAACTCAAGATTATCATTACGGTATCCCTACATCAAGTCTACTACTTTCCCACTGGTAATTTTTGCTTTTATGTTCCTCATTAACTCCTAAACTGTTGAAATGTAAAAAAGGTTCAAGTACATTTTTTTAATACAGACTTTGCACAATGTGCATGGAGATAGGGCCCAAAATGAAAGCTGAGTTCATCACATGGAACAGAGGGTGATAAACAATTCTGTTTCATTTCAATCTCCAAAACATTAAACAAGCAAGAATTGGAAGCAATCATATCGTGTGTCCTCAAAATACAACAATGGCAGTTAATGGATTAAGGTAAACTTACAGTAATGCAACTTTTAGTTCATATTTCAAAGTCTAAGGCATGAATAAAATAAACAGATTAGTACAGTTCCAGGCATTTACTAAGCTATGCAGAGTCAGAGATCTCATAGGGAGGATGCCCCAAGATGAAAAGCATGCAACATCACACAATTACCAGTAACCTAGTTAAGTGTGACTTTTTTTTTTTTTAGAGTACTCAAAGCAACTATCCTGGTACTTGATTTTCGTTCTTGCTGCATCATACAAACTATGGGTGAGTAAATAAATATCTGTATTTTTGGTATCACCTCAAGTGAAGCTATAAAGGATCAATTCCTGACCTGAGGAATGTGGAAGTAGACTTCTTTTTTTGTTGTTGTTGTTTGTTTCAAGACTGCAATGGCAAACAGACTGACAATTTCTGAGGCTGGGATGTTTGAGAGGTCAAAACTTTCTCTAAATCCTGAGTCCCAGTTTATGAAAGAGGAAGAAATGAGCCTGTTTGGGTACATGTGGAATATTATTCAAGTTAAGAACAGAGTAGGATGGGGTGTATGCCAATGCTCAAACCTAATAGGGTGAAGGTAGAATCTACTGCTGATGCTTGTCCAGTGATTCCTGATCTCTCAGACAGAGGATAACATTGTACTCATGCATTCCTCCATTTAATTCAACTTGTTTCTGCTTCAAATCCTACTCATTCTCCTCTCCCTTTGAATCACCTCATCCTTTTGTGTGAGAAATTGATCCTTTTTCTTATAGTTCCTGCTATCTAGGTTGGCAGGACTATTTACTTCCAACTGTAAGATCACTGGAATCCTTTTCTTCCTAACCATCTATACAATGTCATCACCTAAATAAGAACTCTTAATTCCAAAGTGACATAGAAACTTAGAAGTATTAACTCCTCAAACTAAATATGGATAGAGAATACCTTAGTCACTCTTTAAAAACAAATCAACTCCATATGATCTCCAATGTCACTATGAGAAAAAGGTGAACAAGGACCATAAACGCACCTTGATAGTAGTGGTAGAATGACCACCACAATGCACTGTTAGGTACATAAGCATACAAGGAAGCCAAATATCCACGATAGAAGCCTCTGATGCCATCACGCTTGTACAGTTCTCTTGTGATATCCACAATAACTTGAGTTTTTGTACGTTCATGAAACTTGATATCCAGGGGATTCACAACAACTTTTCCATGCTTTGGGCAATTGTCTGTCTGACCAAGCACCATCACATGTTGGGAGATCACATCAAATGGGACAATGATAGTCTGACCTACTGCTGATGCACACCCACCACTCACCAATGCCTTCAGTGTCCGGTCATGAAGATTGTTTCTGGCAAGGATGTGACGTACATTTTCATACGTCGTGATGTAAAACACCCCAGAAAAAATCTGGGCAGTACTTACCCAGAAGCCTTTATAGAGTCCACTAATCCCTTCAGTTCTAAATATCTTACTAAAAGCATCAATAGTGCCACGATACATGCCTTCCCGATGCTGAATTTGTATCCTCGTCTTTATCAATGTCAGGGGATAGAGGATGCATCGAATGGTGAAGGAACTTAACATGCTTAGGGGAAAGAACTTGTGCTTGTCCATCATCTGCCATTCTATTGTTCGGATATAGTCTTCTGTCCCCATGCTCAGGGATGGAGGACACCTGAAACAGAAGTACCAACATGCAAATCAGATTGGATATGATTTAGGAAGGGATACTAGGTGTGATGGGTCTACCTAATAATTTAAATTAACCCTCACCTTAACTGGTAGGGTTAGGTCCACAAGGCCTGAGGGGGTGTTCAAAGTTGTCCCTCCCAATCCAATTGTCAGTGTGATCATGCAACTAATGCATTTAACCTGTTAACATGTGAAAAATAAAAACCATAGAATCTGGCACATATAAATGCTATTCAGGTCTGAAGAAGTTAAGTGAATTTGAAGGTCTCAAGTTTTATTCAGGTGTGAAAGTTCAAGTCTGAGCACTTATTTAGTTTTAAAAGAATCATGATAATTTTGACATTAATATATATTATGGGTTCCCAAGGTTGCATGCTAAATACATGGTTAAAAACGAAAAGCTCACAATAAAGTGATATACCTGCAACAGTTCAGTTTCACTGAAATTGGCTTTAAAGCTTTTCCAACTTCAATAAGCATTTTTCAAGTACAGCCACACAGTGTAGGAAAAATATACATTTTTCCCATGAACCTGAGGCGACAAATTGGAATTTCCTGGGAAGGATATGTAAGCCAACTAAGCGGGCCACCCTCCCACACATCTGATCCCATGAACCTTGTTCGTAGGTTCGCAAGGGTTTTCCTAGACTGCAGCCACATGAAATCTGTCACCTTTATTCATGCTTTAGCTTAGCCTTTTTAAAATTTTTTCTCTGGGCAGCTGAAGGTGAGCTTCGTGGCATAAGCAAGGCTAATCAACATGGGTGACAAGTGCCCTGGAACTACCAGAACCTGGATGATCACACCTTAACCTATTTGTTTCATCTCTTCATTCCCAAAGAATCTTATCAAAATACTTTGTTGAAATATCAGACTTTAAAAATTTACAGTGAAGGCCAACACAAATGGCTGAATTTTTGCAGCAGGGTCCATTTGACCCAAAACAGTAGTAACAGGATTAAAAGTGCAATGTGTTATCAGCAAAGTACACACTATGAAGTACCTTGCTGTGCCAACCCTGCAATGCAGTAAGGAAAATTATATTGCTTTATCTGCTAGAAATTATATTGGATATTTCAGAGTCTTATGTCATCTCAAATTGCGATTTGTTGTTCTTTACTTTTGCAGAATGACCAGTGCTGATGAATGCTGTCTTTTTTGGCAACAAGTAAATTCTATGGTCTTTGACATTTATCCCTTTTGGAGTGCAACTCTTGCTGGGCATGGGGACAGCAAGGCACACCATCCTTATCACATAAAACCAGGCATGGGGGTAAGTGTAATCATTCACACTGTAATGTTCTGCCAAGTTTCATGTCTCTATCACTAGTGGATTGGAGGGCTCCACTTACAGACTAGCAACCATTCTGTTCTTAAAGCTGCTGTAGTTCTTTCTTGACTGCTGCTCCCTTTTTCATGGACACATCCAACAGCCTCTGCACAGTTGACACAATGGCACCTGGTCTATCTTTATAATGCATTGGAATTGGATTAGTTCTACGTAGTCAATACATTTGCATTTGGTACAGGATAATGAAGGTCTTTGCACATATAACACTTCCATCAGTTTTATTTTGTAGGTTATTTTATCATTGGGATTAGTGAAGAGTCAGTTGCAAGAGTGAAAACAAAAAGACAAGAACAGAAGGTTGGTGATGGGGAGGTTGTTCAGCAACAAAACAATAAAACAATGCCTGTTCCAGTGATAAAAAGGGGTAGTTGGAACCTTTTCTCCATTCCCATTAACCCATTGGATTCACATTTCTTCAAGTGTTTTGTTGCTTAAAAAAAAAAAAAAAAAAAAAAAAAAAAAGATTCAGTGAGTGGGCACGAAAGATCTCCGCGGGTTAGAGCACCCGGCTCTACTTTAAACAAATTCGATTTTTAATATTTTTTCTTATAACAGCTACACGTAATTTGGATCATCTATATCAGCGCCCAGGATTCAGTGAGTGGCAATGGTCATATACCAGGGGTGGCCAAACTGCAGCTCACAAGCCCCATGCAGCTCCCAAGAAGTTCAGATGTGACTTGCAGTGCAATGCTCAAGAATCTACATCGGTGTGTCTTGTGGCTCTCAGCCTAATGATTTTGTTATGTGGCTTGTAAGGTGAGGAAGTTTGGCCACTCCTGATCTAGACCAATGAAGTTGGCATAGCCATGTCAATACCATGGGCACCAGGATAGGGCAGTTGCAATTGAATTCAATAAGCATCAGCCTAACTCTAACGTTAAGTTACCCTCTGAAAAGAAAGCTATTTCATACTCCTAAATTTTACTAATGCTATTCCTTCAGTAAAATTGAAGTAAAATCAGGAAGCGGTGTGCTACGTTTGTCGAATGCACCGCAAGGAACGCTGATGCAGACTCTCGCATAAGTGAAGTGTAACTTAAAAAGAGTTTCACGTGGTTACACGACCCGTGCCGCAAAGTAGGCACCCCACAATCTAGGCGCCCGGTACCGGGCGCGGACATTTTCTAACTTACGCGCCTGGTACCTCGGTGATTCGTCCATTTCGAGGTTCACGGTTCGGGTACAGTGATTTTCGAGCGACTTTAACCCCTTACCCTCATCCTGTGTGGCACCACATGTCATGCGACTTGAGCGACATCTGCCTACAAAAAATCGCAACTGCAACTCAGTCATTCGCTATTCAATCCTGGTGGCATCCACTGAGCTAAGGGTGGCATCGGGTCTGCGATGCTATTATGAAATAATGCTTCCGGATTAACTTTTACCCACATACAAGGTGACCAGGCGTCCCGATATAGGCGGAACAGTCCCACTTTCAGATCACCTATCCCGGTGTCCCCCGATGAGGTATGCAGGACGCCCAAATGTCCCGCTTTTGGGAAATGTCGAGTGACACGACAGTCGAATTTCTTCCTTTGTTTCCTTTGAGAGCTTCAGAACTGCTCCTAAACGAAGGCGCATCGAGCTAAACCTAGCGAATATCATGATTATGCATAACATAACTTGTATTTTTTTATCCATGGCAACTGCGTAGATATAATTTGGCAATGCGAATACGGATTACCGAACGGCTAAGAGGCCTAAAAACATTCTAGCACTTGCCAGCAGTCACCCGCTCATGCGCAAACCAGACGGTGCGGCCGGTGTCGTATGATATTTTGCCCCCGTAATTGAAGGAATTTCGCCTCGTTCCCCGGCGGCTATTTCCGTGCCTTATAGTGTTCCTTTTACGCCTCCATCTGCCTTGCTAACGGCTAAGCCAGTTTTGATTCCTCAGGGCGATCTTCAAAGCCACATCAAAGATTCAAGCCCCCGGAGGTAAAAGGCAAATAAAGGCAGCTGACATGAAGGCAGGGAGAAAGAAACATCGTTCTCTGCAGGAGGATGTTCTGCTATGATTTCATTTTATCAGTTTCTGACAATAAAGACTATATTCTCTTTTGGCAATCATCAAACTAGCAATTCTACTTTTTAAAACAAACTCCCTTCATTTCCATCACTGGAGGGGGAGAAATATCATGCGACACCTGTCTCCCTGCCAGTGGCGTAGGCAGAAAATCGGCAAGGGGGGGGGGGGTTTGAGGCCAGGAAGACACCCCAACCATACGCCTAACTCCACTACCCGGAATTTACCTTTTCAAATAAATCATGGTCTGGCATCTTGGGTCTGTGGACAGACCTCAGACTTTCCTCGAAGGGGCATAGCTAAAATTAGAATTCCCAAAGAAGGTTGAAATATGCCTGTCAGTGCCACTGACCGGGAAGCCCAAGGGGGGGGGGGGGGGGGGGGGGGTTGGG